TACTTATGATTTTCTAAGTACAGTATCGTGTCATCTGTGAATAAAGATAATTGTACTTCCTTTCCAATCTAGATGTCTTTTTATATGTTTCTGTTGCCAAATTGTCCTTGCTAGCATCTCCAGTGGAATGATGAATAGATGTGGTAAGAATGGATATATTTGTCTTGTTCCTGATTGTACAAAATAAGTGTACAGGCTTTCACCAGTAAGTATGATACTAGCTGTGGGTTTTTTATATGCCCTTTATCGCTTTGGGGATGTGCCCTTTTATTTCAACTCTGTTGACTGTTTTCATCATGAAAGGATGTTGAATTTTGACAAACTCATTTTCTGTGTCTGTTGAGATGGCCATATGGTTTTGTTTGTTGTTATATTAATATGCTGTATTATATGAGAGTACTACAAAAAGCTCATAGAAAAAATGGAATTAAAAGATTTGGGGCTGTTAACCAACCTTGTTTTCCTGAGATGAATCTAAGTTGGTCATGGGGTTTAATTATTTTTATATGTTGCTTGGTCATGTTTGCTTGTACATTTTTGAAGAATTTTACATCTATATTCATAAAATACATTGGCCTCAATTTTTATTTTCTGGTGCTATCTTTGTACACTTTTGGCAACATGGTAATTCTGCCTCACAGAATGAGTTGGGAAGTGTCTCTATTGCTTCGGTTTTTTGGGGAGTTTGGGAAGAATTGATATTAAATTTTCTACAAATGTTTGATAGAATTCAGCAGTGAACGTTTTCCCCCCATTCAGGATGATTTTGGCAGTGGTTTGTTTTATATGGCTTTTATTGTGTTGAGATACTTTCCTTTTATACCTGATTTGCTGAGTCTTTATCATGAAGCAATGTTGAATTTTGTCAAATGCTTTTCTGTGTTTATTGAGATAATCATATGGTTTTTGTCTTTGATTTTGTTGATGCGATGTATCACATTTATTGACTCATGTATACTGAGCCATCCTTGGGATGAATCCCACCTGATCATGGTGTATAATTTTTTTTGGTGTGTTACTGTATTCTATTTGCTAATATTTTGTTGAGAATTTTTGCATCTATTTTCATCAGAGATATATAGAATGAATTTGGGAGAATGAGCTCTGTTTCAATTTTTTTGAATAGTTTGCAGAGAATTGGTATTAATTCTTCATTAAAGGTTCAGTAGAATTCAGCAGTTAAGTCATCTGGTCCTAGGATTTTATTTATTAGGAGACTGCTGATTATCGTTTCAATCTCATTGCTTGTTATCAGTTTGTTCAGGTTTTCTATGTCTTCTCTCTTAAGAAAGGGAACCAGACAAGGATGCCCACTCTCACCACTCCTAGTTAACATAGTATTGGAAGTACTAGCCAGAACAGTCAGGCAGGAGAAAGAAATAAAGGGTGTCCAGACTGGAAAAGACAAAGTCAAATTGTCCCTGTTTGCAGATGACATGATCGTATAGCCTTAACACTGTACAAAAAGAAACTCTTAAAGTTGATAAATGACTTCAGTAAATTTGCAGGATACGAAATCAACATGCAAAAATCAGTACTATTTTAATACTCCAACAACAGACTAGCAGAAAAAGAAATCAAGAAAGCTCGGCCATTTATAATAGTCACCAAAACAAACAAACAAAAAAACCTAGGAATAAAGTTAATCAAGGAGGTGAAAGATCTCTACAATGGGAACTACAAATCACTGTTGAAAGAAATTAAAGAGGGCACAAAAAGGTGGAAAGACATTCCATGCTCTTGGATTGGAAGAATTAACATTGTGAAAATGTCCATACTACCCAAAGTGATCTACAGATTCAATGCAATCCCCATCAAAATACCAATGACATCCTTCACAGAAATAGAAAAAACAATTCTAGCATTCATATGGAACAACAAAAGACATAGAATAGCCAAAGCAATCTGAGCTAAATAAATAAATAAGACCAGAGGCATTACTCTACCTTATTTCAAACTATACTATAAAGCTACAGTAACCAAAACAGCCTTGTACTGGCATAAAAACAAGACACTCTGACCGATGGAACAGAGTAGAGAACCCAGAAATAAACCTGCCTACTTAGAGCCAACAGCTCTTTGACAAAGGCACCAAGAACATACATTGTGGAAAAGACAGCCTTATCAACAAATGGTGCTGAGAAAACTGGATATCCATGTGTAGAAGAATGAAACTAGACCCATACCACTGGCTATATACCAAAATCAACTCAAAATGGATTAAAGACTTAAGTATAAGACCTGAAACTATAAAACTCCTAGAAGAAAACATAAGGGAAACAGTTCAGGATGTAAGACTGGGCAAAGACTTTATGAATAAAAGCCAAAAAGCACAAGTAACTAAAGAAAAAATAAACAAATGGGATTATATCAGACTAAAAAGCTTCTATACAGCAAAGGAAACAACAAAGTGAAAAGTCAACCTACAGAATGGGAGAAAATATTTGCAAACTGTGCATCTGAGACGGGATTAATATCTGGAATATACAAAGAACTCAAACAACTTTGATGTAAATAATAATAATCCAATTTTAAAATGGGCAAAGAAGCTGAACAGGCATTTTTCAAAGGAAGACAGTGTCAACAGGTGCATGAAAAAAGGCTCAACATCAAAAATCATCAGGGAAATGCAAATTAAAACCACATTAAGATATCATCTCACCCCAGTTAGACTGGCTATTATCAAAAAGACTGAGGATAATAAGTGCTGGTGAGGATGCAGAGAAAAGGGGAACCCATCACTTACACTGTTGGTGGGACTGTAAATTAGTGTAGCTATCATTGAAAACAGTATGGAGGTTTCTCAAACAACTACAGATAGAGCTACCATATGATCCAGCAATCCCACTTCTGGGTATATACCCAAAGGCATGGAAATCATCATGTCAAAGGGATATCTGCTTTCCCATGTTCATTGCAGCTCTATTTACAATAGCCAAGATGTGGAACCAACCTAAATGTCTACTGATGAATGACTGGATGAGGAAAATGTGGTGTATATGCAATGGACTACTACTCAGCCATAAAAAAGAATGAAATTCTGCCATTCACAGCATCATGGATGAATTTGGAGAAAACTATGTTAAGTGAAACAAGTCAGGCACAGAAAGAGAAATACTGCATGTTCTCACTCATGGAAGCTAATAAAGAAAGAGAGGAAGAAAAAAATAGAGATGGAACACAATAAAATGTTGAACTTTCAGAAGGAGAGAACAGACCTATAGTTACTAGAGGTGGGAAAAGGGGAAGGGGAAGGGAGTTAGGGAGTAATTGGGTAAGGGACACAAAGAATAATTACTATTTGTAATGATGAACATGCTAACAATATTGATTTGACCATCACATACTATACACAAATACTGATATAAATCTCTACCTCATAAATATGTATAATCAAAAATTATATGTATAATCAAAAATAAATAAATAAAACTTTTAGAAAAAGCAAAAATAGACGTCATAGTTTAAAAAAATAATAAAGTAAAATAAAAATAAATAAAAGAGAGGAAGCTAAAGTTCCCATTTGTCTGACCCTGACACTGGATCATTCCACCACCTAATGCTGTGACCAAGTAGACCCCTTTTGAGGCATTGCATGGACCATCCAGGAGGGCTGAGGGGCCAGTGACTTCTGAAGACATGTTGTGTTGGGTGACCCTGGAGCATGCTCAGCCATGAGCAGTGAGACAATGGCCCAAGACTGCCCTGTGGATCCTTCCGAGTAACTGGGGGGCGGGGGGGGGATATTAACACACAAGTCCTGGTCATCTGTAGACAACACAGTGGAGACACCACCTGTCATCTTGAAGTGGAGGGAGCCTGGAGCTGAGGAAGGATCCTGAGCTGGAGGTAGGACTTGACTACAATCTGCTGGGATTGTGCTGACATCCTATCTGATTCTCTGACCACTTCTGAAGCAGTGACCAAACAATATTTCCCCCTCGCTCCTACTGAACCCTTCTCTTCTGATTTTGTGAAATGTGGTTTACATCAGTAGAGTATTTCTAAAGGTGGGACTAACTTTTCACAGTGATGTTACTTCTGGGCTAGAAGTTACCCATGAGGAGCCAGCAGGACTTGGAAGCCACTGGGGGAACTCAGTTTTACACTGTGCTTACCGGAACATCAACCTAAGACACTTAACAGCCAGATGATGCCCTGATCAGTTAAGTCATACCCCCAAAGGGCCCCCACACTCCCTCCCAACATTTCCCATTACTATTGGGCACTTTAGGATTTTCCCAGGATATTCTCTCAAATTGAAACCTCTCTGCCCCAAAGCAAATAAAAAGGCGTTTTTATGTATCTTTCTGCCAGAAGCAGTCTTGCCTCCATGGAGGCCCAATGTGAGAACAACAGGTGTCTTTTGGTGGGGCAGCTGGTTCTTCCTTCTGCTGATTTACCTATCTGTTAACTTTGGGTTTTGGTGCCCCAAGGTGGAGGAGTGAAAAGGTGTGGTCAGCAGAACAGTGTCCCCCAAAGATGTCCACACCCTAATCCCAAGAACCTGTAAGCATGTTACCTTTTGTGGTAAAAGGAACTCTGAATATGTAAAGAAATTCAGGATCTTGAGAAGGGTAGATTGTCCTAGGTTACCTGGGTGGGCCCTGTGAAATCCTTACGAGGGGGCGGGAGGAAGGTCAGGGTGGAGAGAGCTTGGAAGATGCTACACTGCCAGCTCTGAAGCATCACTTGTCTTACTGGGAGACACTCACACAGATGCAGAATGCCAGGAGAGCTCCAAAGGCTTTTATGCCTCACCCACTCAGTCCTCGTGCCCTGCACCACGGAAAGGGCTGAGAGCACTTGCTGGTGCGTGCCAGCAGGACAGGCACAGTGGTCTTGCTCCAAACACCTCTTCTGTTTCATAGCATTAACCTTTAGTTCACTGGGAAGATTTTGTTTTCTTCATTTTAGTTTCAAGAGTCCCCACATGCTTAGAATTTCTCTTTCCAAACACAAAGTGACATTTTAATATCAAGAGATAATAGATGTCTGTGTTGACATTTCAGACATATTTTAATATGAAGATACTGCACAGAATGATGCTCATAGGAACAATATCCTAAGGCAAGATGGTACGGGATATATTTTTGACAAGGCTAATAAATCTTGCCAAAACTATATTATTTCTCCCTGTTCTGACCTACAAAATAATGTCCGTATTCCTTTTTGTCTGTCCTTTATAATTGATGTTGACTCTGGTAACTGGATAATCTACTTTTTTAGAAGAGGTTAGTTTAACTTATAATGACAGGTTCCTAATCACCACTGTTTCCAGGAACCCCAACATAGCCGCAAACTAATGCATAGTTTAATTTAGTCAGTTTAACAAAATCTTTTTGGACTTTGCTTTCACATTCTGTCTGAACACTGTGACTTTGGAAAGCATCATCTCTGGCCTGATTCACTCCATGTGGAGGGGCTGCCCACACGCAGGCAGGTGGTTTTTCAGGCCATATCCTCCTTTCACTTATGAGCGGGGAATGACACAGAGTTTGTAGTGTGGAGGGATGCTGCCAAACCCAACCGCAGCAGGGCTAAGGTCAATATCCTTTGGGTCAACAAGAGACTTCAAATTGAAATGCTGCAAAATGGCGGACAAGAATAAAAACAGTTCCATGCGGGCCAGGCCTTCTCCGACACACACCCTTTTTCCTAGAAGTAACAAGAGCACTGATAAGACCCTGGGGGAGCTTCAGAGAGAGAGCAGGGGGCAGCAAGGGGGAGGCTGTGGGAAAAGGGCCATCATGAAGCAGAGAAAGGAAGCAAAAAATGTAGTAAATATCAGTGACGTTGACTTATTCAGGGCCCAGCCTTCGAACAACCTTCATCATTCAGAACTCAACTGCAAAAGCCTGTCAAGTGGGGAAAATGGTCTCCGTCCAGGCCTTAGGAAAGCACCCCCAGAACTTGCCCAAGAAGGAAGCAGTGCACGGTCAGAAGCTAAGGCTCCGACTCTGGGAGCTGGAGTTATCTGGTCGGTTGTAGGGCTTTCCTCACACCAGGGCCCAGGGGGAGGCCTTGCGGAGGGACCCAGGGCTTCAAAGAGGGCGGGTGAGTCACACCCAGGGAAGCTTCAGTGCTTCCTATGATGAGTCAAGGTACCAAAGGTTAGATTTTACTTAGTGACCTTTGTTTAGAATTATGGACACTTAGGTAATATAGTTTTGACAGATTTTCTCTAAGTCCCGTGGAAGTAAAAACCGAATATAACAATGAATTATTTTTTTCCACTCTATGAAAAAAATAATCCATCCACAACCCTCATTCCCAGGATTTCTGGTAAAAAGGTGTCATTTAACTTCTCTGAGCAGGGAAGAGCACATCTGGGTCATGCTATAAATAGAAACCAGGGGCAAGATGGGGCTGTGGCAGGTCTGGGATGACGAGGGCAGAGGGTGCGTGGGCAGAAACGAGGAAAGCAGGAAAGGGTTTTCAGGGGAAGGTGCTGCCTCTGAACTTCCTACCTGCAGAGAATGGCTTGAAATAGTCACTGTACTTGAACTTCCCGTTCTCATTCAGAAAGTGCTCTGGTTTAAACTTCTCTGGATCAGGGAATTCTTGACTGTCATATAAAAGGGAGGTCAGAGTCGGGATTATGACTGTGCCCTGGAAGGAACAAAGACGGTCTCAGTCAGCCAAGTTAACAAAACACAGGCTTTCCTCCAGAAGCCTCAGTGAAGAAGTTTGTTTTGAATTTTACGTTATACAGGATAGCATATTTCCAGCTGGGGACACTGTTCTGTTAAAGATTAGACAGAAAGAAGTCAGGGTCAGCCCTACATGGAGATGAAAGCCCTCACCTCCTCACAGATTAACTCCAGGGCTGGTGGTTAATGCTGCTTGTTCCTGGGAGTAGAATATGCTATACATCTCAAGCACTATCTGAGCAGGCAATTTCCAGATTTCCTCCTTTCCTCTGGTCACCACATCAAAGTGAGAACTGCTGGGGAAGCAGGACTCTGCAGGGTGGGAATGCTGCCCGGCCCACTATGCGGCCACACCCACCAAAGGAAGTGTCTTTGGATCCCCCATCCTGTCCTCTGGCAGGTGAGGTGATGAACCCTGGGGTGCGCACACCAGGCTCACATCTGACCTTGGGGATGACGTATCCTCTGAACATGACGTCCCGGGTTGCTTCATGGCTCAGGTTGGAGGGCACGAGGTCGATGAATCTCTGAATCTCATGCACCACAGCATCCATGTAGGGCATCTCTAGCCTGTCCTTGATGGCAGGGATTCGGCTTGGCCCAATCACCCTGTCAATTTCTTCATGGAGTTTCTCTGCCAATATATGAATGGGATAAATTTAAAGGATTGACTCTAGGCTGGTTGGACATCCACCCACATGCCCATACATCCACCCACTCACTCAGCAGATATTCATAGAGCATCTTAAGCCAGGTTTATGGTGCCCAGTTACTTTGAATTATTGGATAAATTTTCCACAAATGTCAGTAAAAGCTGAACTCTATTATGAGATTATTTACAGTCTGCAGAACATTCTGGCACCAATTATTTTAGCTGATGATGGCTTATCTAGTTCTCTTCATATCTGGAGTACAGAACACAAAAACGGTCTTGGGAATTTCTTTCTGGAGGGAAATCTTGATGTTAATTGTTACTCCAGGATGGTTTATTGCATGCTTCTGAGAAGTATTAAGGGGGATGACAGAATGGAATCAGACACGCGCAATCTACTTCTTGAAGCCTGAAAATCCCTCTCTATCTGACAGTGGTGACAACATCTCTGAGTTTGGAATTTTCTATGGGACTTTATAACATGTTGAGTGAAAAAACCAAATTGCAAAGTTATGTACAGGATGGTACCTACGTAGAATATTCAGACAAACAGGAATATGAACTGTATGCTGACACTTCGTAAATGTGAAATGTATGAAGTCACTCATGGGGCGATAAACAGCAATCCTGCACATTACCATCATGGGTGGGGGGTGAGGACGGGGGAGTTCACTGGGTAGAATATTCAGACAAACAGGAATATGAACTGTATGCTGACACTTCGTAAATGTGAAATGTATGAAGTCACTCATGGGGTGATAAACAGCAATCCTGCACATTACCATCATGGGTGGGGGGTGAGGACGGGGGAGTTCACTGGCTCTATAATTGTTTTTTTATGAGATCTGAAGCAAACATTGCAAAATGTTAATACATGTTAAATTTGGCAATGGATGTATGGATGTCAATCATATTTATTTTATTTTTGTGTGTAATGGAAATTCCTCATAATTAATAATTTAAAACATTTTTGAATCCATAGATTTTCTAGAACAGAGTGGTCAAAAGTTCTCTTGTAACTGCCATAGATCCATAAAATGTTTCCCTCCCTGGACTTTTACCCTCCACCTTTCTGTGTGATCCAGAAAGCAAAGGCTTTACCATCAGAAAGACCAGAGACCAGGTCCTGATCTTGGGCTGGTCATGTATCCACATTCTTGGGGGAAATTATCTCATTCCCCACAATACCTACGCTCAAGAATTGGCGAGCTTGAAGAGTACAGTGCACAGAAGGGCTGGCCCTCGCCTGCACGCAGTGGTGAGGAGGGCACCTCCAGCAGCAGCTGCCCAGCTCTGCACCCAGCCAGGGAGAAGCAGGGGCTCCAAACCTTGGGCACCACGCCCTAGGTTATGGCTCCCTCGGCTTCCTCTGTACTTGAGGGGTTGGCCTTCACATCGCCTCTACGTGGCACAGGTGGGTGCTTCTCAGTACATGATCCTCTGCGCATGCGGGCTGGATGCCTCCTCCAGGCACTGAGTCATACCTGTCCCAGGTACTGCTGGGACGGAGCCCCATGGGAGTGAAGAGGTTCCAGGACAGCAGGCAGCCATAGGTTGCTTCTCACTGGGCTTTCCTCTTCAGATCCCCTTTTGGGTGAGATGCCCCAGGAAGATCCCCCAGCCCCACCCTCCCTCCCTGCTCTGCCTAGAAGGCCAAGTTCTATTTGGGGTCAACTGGAACATTATTTTCATTGTCATACACAGGTTATTTATGGAGCAGAATGCATACCCACAGCCCTCCCCTGGTTTTGGGCTGTCCTTCTGTGCAACCAGGGGTCTCTCTGTGGGGTGTGGGCCAACCAGTGTTCAAGGATGCCAGGTGTCTCGCACATACAAGAACACCTTCCCTCAAAGCAATTCCTCCAGCAATCCCACCCTGTCACCCAAGGGTTAACAAGCAGCTTTAGCTGGACAACACGCAAGGCTATCTGCAGGGAGGATTAGCTGCAGGGCACAGGCGTCTTGCTCTTTACTTACACACCTTCAATCTCTGGGTATTTCATGAGAATCAGGAGCCCATATCTCAGAGTGGTGCTGGTGGTTTCTGTCCCCGCAAAGAACAGGTCAGCCACGGTCACAGCGATGCTGTCCAGTGTGTACAAGGGCTCTGGGCTGTGCTTTTCCTGCAATGTTAGAGACAGAGAGGGACTCAACAATAGGATGTCTGCAGGTGGCTGAGAAAAGGATGCTGTCTCCTCTCAGCAAAAAGAGAGCCCAGCCACCTCCCAGCTCTACAGGAGACAGCAGATGGACATCCAAGAACCAGGACTCAGAGCTGTGAGAAACACGGTAATCTCCACCTCACAGCGAGGGAAATGGAAGCTCTCAGGAAACAGGCTGAGGGTAGGACTGGGCTCCTCACCAGGCCACGGGCTCTGCCTCCCTCAACAGTACAAGGGCCAATGGGTGGGGGGTGGTGAGGTACACTCTGGCCACAGTCGCAGCTCAAGGCTGAGCTGTGAGACGCCAGGAGCAGGGAGGGGGCAAACTGATGAAGGAGATTCTCAGACAGTCCAGGATGTCATCTAGGGGAGTCCAAGTTATCAGTGTGGGAGCCACAATCGACAGGAAAGGAAAAGACGGATACAAGAGCTTCCCCAGAGGGATACTGAGCTGGGGGAGGGGTTCCTGAGGGGCTGCAGGGAAATGAACCTGGGGAGGACTGGAGCCCCTGAAAGTCGTGCACAACTGGGGAATAAGTGGCCACAAAGAACTCTGAGGGTTCCTCAGACAAAACACGATTGTCAAAGTCAGCGGACAGAAACTGTTAAGCAGCTTGGCCTGGCCTGGAGGGAGCCAGGTGACGGGGACAGGTGGGCTGTGCCTCCACGTGGGGTGGGCGGAGGCCAAGTGTGTTTGTGTGAAACCAAGAGCACCGAAACGTGGGCACCGTGGGCAGTTTGGACAGCAGTGAGGGCAGGTCAGGATGCAAATCTGAAAGGTGCACGCCCCGCCCGCCCCAGAGCCCTGTCATGGGCGGGGGTGCAAGACCTTCTCCATTTCCACAAGCAGGCAGTCGGTGAAGTCCCGGGGGCACTTGGGGTCCAGGGACTGGTGGTGTTCCTTCACTCTTTCAAGCGCATACTTTTTTATTTCAGACACATTTTTCATTAATTTTCTATGACTTCCAGGCAGGTAGCGTAGATAGTCTGCAAAACTGTTGTAAAACTAGAGAGAGAGAATTATCTTACTACGTTTTTCCTGGATGCAGTTTAGTTCTGTGCGCTGGGCTTGCTCAGATGTGAATTTATGGCTGTCATCGTCACATTATTTAGAATATTGGGGTCAGCAGCGTCTCTTTTGGGCCCGTCCTCCCAGGCAGCGCACACGCTCCGGGAGGTGCAGCCGGGCTGCCGCGTCGGACACCCCGTTCCCGGCATCTGCAGGCCCGTGTGTCCCCCACAGCCTGTCCCTCCCCTTTCCCATGTGGGCGGGCGGGGCGGGCGGACGGCGGCCTCACCTGGAGCCAGGGCGTGCTGAGCAGGTAGAAGTTCTCGTTGAAGGCGCGCATCAGCCGCAGGCACGTGTCGTCGTCGTAGGGGAAGCGGCGGCGGAGGAGGATGTCGGCGATGACGTTGCAGGGCCCGCCGCCGAGCACCAGGGTGGGGTCGAAGGGCCGGCCTGCGGCGGGCGCGGGGAGCG